AGCTAGATCTTTGTTGATACTACCATAATAACACAACATCCACGGGGAATTTTCAATTATTGCTCCTCTAAAGGACCTACCAATGAGATTTCTAACTTCTTTGTAGATTAGTTTATGCACATTATCAACTAGGTAGCTGATAGTGCTACCTGTGTCAATGATGACTCCTCCTGTGCCATTCTCTTTTATCTCAAAAGTTCTTGGAGCTATGTCAAGCCTTTTCTCCCCTATACTTATGCCTTCCATGGTGACATAATAAAAACCATTGTGGACTTCAAAAGGGGTGGAAAAACCTTCAAGATCTGCCCCTTCACCTAATATCAGTTGGTTGTAATTGTAATGAGGGTCAGCCAGGTTGCCTATGCAGTAAGAAAACTTTCTACCAATTTTTGTTGCCAAAGATTCAACTGCACTGTTTAGTCCTAGTATTCCATTGTGTCCTGGATCTGAATCGTATCCAATGTAGTGGCCACATCCAAATAGTACATCTAATATCTTAGAGGTACCTTCATCAGTTGTCTCAAAGACAACAGTATCACGACCATATGTTCCTGAAGCTGTGGAGCCATCTGCATAAGATGCACGAAATGGAATAGGGTCACATTTGCAACCCTTGAAGAGACATGGTATTTTGCACTGTGGGAAAAAGGTGGAAGACTTTGAGGGGTCAAAGAGTGGTCCTAAATGGTTGTCACAATTTGTGCAAGGGGAGCACATGATCCAGAAGCTGTCACTGGCAGTGTCTATAATAACTAGTTGTGGGATAGGGGGTTGGCCTATTGAGATATTGGCCAGTATGGTTCTACCAGTTAAAGAGGGAGAAACAATAGCTTTGTTGTCATTATTAGAGACCAAAGAACCTTCTATCCTTGCTTGAATGTAGGCTAAACGTGCTGCTGAGTGTTGGATATCAAGTTGAATTCGGTCTTGAGCTGTTGCATGTGGCTTGTAGTGAGGATGATGAATTGAGCCAGGGTGAATGAGTCTGGAGACCAGTCTTTGAGGTTTAACAGATGAATTGCTGCTAGTTGATGAGAAACATGTTGAAAAAGCCATCAACAAAAGAAGAAATTGTTCATATGCAAATGCCATAATATTGATCTTCTTTGTTATTGAATTTGTTGTTTTAGTTTATTGGTAGATTGTAGTTATATATTGCTTCCAAGACATTCAAGATAGTTATATATAGTGATAAATGAACCTTTAGGCTTTGCACACACATATATATATTGATTGATTCACCTTGTGGAAGGTATGATTTGTATATACAAAAGAAATTTATGAGAAGAAATGAAAAAGTAAATTACCCTTAAGAGGCACCAGCCACATGAACGTTGCATGTCTTTATTTTTTTCTACTAGGCCCATCTTTACATTCTCTACCAATAATCAATCTAGAAAATGAGCACCAGCTTTTGTTGTGATTTGACATTCTTTATTTGATGTAATTCTTATTATAGTAAAATCTAAATATCCAAACATAAAAAATAAAATTACAATAAATATATAGAAAATTGGTTACAAAAATTACTTACTTTTATTAATTAAATGTTATATAATCTTTCATCACAACATCTCACTATTAGTTTTTTTGTAACAAATATTAAGATAGAAATAGTAAAATATTATGCATACGAGATAAATAGTTAAAAACTATCTTTATTAATAGTTTTAGATATATCATATCATTATAGTAACTCGCCTCGTAAAAATTCTTAACCAAAACTCAGCAAAGAATAAAAATAAAAGCCTTTAAAATTTTATTGGATAAAAACTAGAAAGGATTCACAGGAACTAAAAACACAATTAGTCTAATAATATTTAAAGTAATATTTAATGTTAAAATAAAATAAAAGTTAGAGTAAAAAAAATCACCACACATATGCTTATAATAATGCTGAAGTTAGAGAAGGAAGTACAAACACAAAGTGACTACACCATATTCTGTGCAGCAGAAGAGTAAGAAAAATAAATATTAATTATCGAATCTTATCATAAATAATAAAAATATAAAGAATTTGAGTTTAAAAACTGACCCCCTCTCGTATAAATATAAACATAACTTTTAATCGGTGTTACAAAGTATATAACTTTACATAATAACATTAATTTATTGCTGTAATTTTTAAATTATAATTTCATATTATCATAATTATTAATATTGAATTTTATATAATAAAAATAATAAGTAAGTTATTTATATTTAAAAAATATATTACATCAATTTTAATCAACATGATACATCAATTTTAATCAACATATGATGTGAGTGATGTGTAAGAGTTTAGAAAATCGTGTTTTAAAATTGATAATATGTTTAAAATGAGGAGACTTAATAATTTTAATATTAAAATTTTAAAGTATAAATATAATATTTATAAACAAGTTTCATTATTAAAAAATATACATTATTTCTAAAAAATCTTTTCCTATAACTCTTTTTATCTTTTCTCTAAGATTTTTTACAATCCGTTCATCTTCTAAATATAAGAGACGGTAAGATTTTTCTTAAGAGTAAGTTCATCAAATCATCCGATTAGTTTCTTCAATAAAATAAGTTGATTTTTTGTCTCTCTTTTAGTTTGTTGGTTCTTCTTCTACATGTAGTCTTTTTGGCTCGCATGTAGTATTAGTGTTCTTCTTGCTAGTCTCTATTGATCAGTGGTCATAATTGTGTGTCCTGATTGTCTTTGTGTTTTTCATAGGGGTAGATTGAGCTACATGTGCATTTAAGTATGTTTTAGGGATCATTAAGCTATTTGGTTGTCTTGTAGGTAAGGGAAGCTAGTTGTTTTAGTGTGTGTCAGTTGAATAATTTTGATTGATATTGGTACGTTGTTGAATCTAATTGATGTTTGTACTTGAATTGAGTTTTGACTTGTGGTTTGGACTATTGTGATTGAGGGAACTAAATTGCACAAATTGGTATGAATTTAAGGTATAAAAAATGTGTTGAACCATCTCTCTGAAAAAAGAATACCAATTTGAGTAATTGAACAAGTCTTAATTCACTTAAAATCAAAAATATGAGTGTACTGTAATTTGGTGTAGCATTAACAGGTATTGGTGTGGTGTTGAGCACAAGTTTGGTTGTACAAGTTTGGAAACATTTGTTCTTCAGTTCGCGAAGTGCCCCTTTTTATCATTGAGCGCCTAGTTTTGAGAATATTTTGGCATTGAGTGGTGACAAGGTACAACTTAATGTCATCTTGCATTGCAGGTCTGTATCAATTTTAGTTCCAAGATGCTTTGCATCACCTTTTGCGAAAGGTTTGATGCTGGGTGTTAGGACTGTCGTTGAGCGCCACCTTTTTGCGAAAGTTCTGACGAGTGCCAACTTTGAACGGTAGTCTGTATGATAGTTCTGCTTCTTCTTTTTGGCTATTTGGTATTGATTTATATAACCATTGAATATGCTTGTGAGTATGACAATTGTATGTATGAAAATAAGGATGTTTATTATGATTATGTGTGGTATTCTTGTTAAAGGAGATATCCTGATATACTACCAGTCCTTCATCTCATAAAGAGAGGAATGAGGTGGGGGAGAGAATGACAACACCTATGTTTATGACTCTACAGAGTATAAATACTACTACAAGTGCATACATAGAGTGAAACTCTATGTCAAATGTATGTATATGGATAATTGAGTCTAAAGTATTATGCGTGTTTTTATAATAAGTTATAGTACTTTATAAATGTTAAGCTTATATTTGACACGATTAAACTGTATTATGATTTTTCTTTTGTATATTAACTTACCATATCTTTTCTTTTTGTGTTTTGTTATTTTTTATGATGATCACTTCCCAATACGAGCAGATAACAAGTTAAGTGGAAGATAAAGATGTAGCAAAATGATTATTTAGTTTTATGTAATTGATAATGTAGGAGTTTCTTGCTTTTAAAAATAATTTTTGTAATTTCTTTTGGTATATAGATATATATATTACGTTTTTATATGTACATATATGTCACGTTTTTACAAATATGTATTAATATTATATATATTTTTCATTATCTTTTATTTATTATTAATTTTTAATGTTTTATTTGACAGTTACATGCTAAGATGTTAGATGATGTAACTTTTACTATTAAATATTACATAATTAGTAACTTTATATTAATCTAACCATTAAATTATAAATAATATTTTAATAAATTTTGAAAACCACATTTTGATATATCAATTATTCTAAATTAATATAAAAAACTATATATATAAAAAGAACTCTCAATATAATGACGTGAGATTTTTTTTTTAAAATGTCTAATTAAAAAAAAATTGGAAACTTTCATGAAATTTTAGACTATCAATAACTTTGTATAAATAAAAAACGAGAATTTTATCAATTAACGACTAAGCAATAATTCATCATCAATATCACAATTATAAAAATTAAACAATAAAAGAAAAATCTCAGCTCATCATCAATATCATTTAAAAGAAATCAATAAAAATATATTGTCAGTATAATATTAAGTAAGATTTAACAAATGTAATTTAGTTCTTTATACATTTTTTTTCTTTTCTGATTACTAATATTCCATTTTTAGTTTGACAGCCCAAGTTTGGTTTTTGTAATGAGTGATGAATAAAGCAGCAGAAACTGCAATTCATTTCCAAAAGCTGCAAATGTGACAACAGAGTCATCACAAAAATACCAAACTTCTTTGTCAACAAACACTAAAGTGGAGAAAAGCAGAAGGACCTTATGATTCCTAGTCAACCCCAACTTTCTCATTGCTCCATTGCAACACACACCTTAATATTTTCTAAACATCTTTATTTTTTAATTTTCAACATATTTATTTATGCTTTATATTCTTCTTTTCACTTGCTTTTTAATCAATTTACATATTTGTCATGACTTAGTTTCTCATTTAATTGCAAACACATTAATGAATTTTCCACTAATTACCTTAAATATATATTATAACCAGTATTGATTAATTAATGATTTTTTTTTCTAAACCATGGTATACTTTGTTTTTTGTGTCTTAGTGTGTGCCACTGCTACAAGCAAGGACCCTTTTGGTTTTTCAGAGAAAAAGCAAAACGCAAACGCAGAAACAAAAGAAAGCGAAACGATTCGCGTTTTGAAAAAGCCATCACAACGAAATAGAGGCACACACACTGTCTTTCTTTCTTACTCTTCTCGCGTATGTGTTTTGTGATCGTGCATGGTTCCTTGCGATTTCCCCCTACAAGGATAGATCTTTCAACGCTCATTTTCCTCTGAGATCTTTCCTTTGACGTGTGATGTGAATTTTTTCGTCTTCTTCACGTTGCAGGTATCGACACTCTTTTTTCCATTCTCACTGCGTGAGAGAGAGAGAAAGTTTGTGTTTTGAAGCGTTTGGGATGTTGGGTGTGGAAGATTTGAAAACAGTGAAGGAGGGAAGGGAATGCCTTTTTTTTTGGTGAATTAATTAATGGGATTGTGTAGTGTTTTTCTAGATAGTTCAGTTTCAATCTTTAAGGTTGTTTGGTGTTTTTGTGGTAAATTAATTAATGAAATCGTGTAGTGTTTTGCAAGATAATTCGATTTTAACGTGTAAGGTTTTCTTTTTTCTTCGATATGTTTTTGTGTTTGAGTTTTCACGTGGTTTTTGTATGGGTGGTTACTTGTGTATTTTTTGTAGAAGTGCCCCCTTTGAATTATAAAACGTTGAATTGATTGGTTGTGTTAACTTATGAGATGTAATAAATGCTCACACTTTTCACGCTCGTGTGTTTTTTTTTCTCTGGGACAATGTCTTTTTCTGATTCCTTAATGTTATTATCGTGTTTGGTTATACCAGAAAGGTGTGGTGGAATGAAAATAGGTTTGTTTTATGATTTTAGATTTTTAGAGAAACTTCCCTTTCCCACCCGATCGTGGGTTTTGTTGTATATTTACGTAATCGCTCCTATGATTGAGGAACTGGGACTTTGTGGGATCAGATTGGAGTGTGTGGGTTATGTTATGTTATGTTGATATTTTATTTTTTCATTTTTAAATTGGCTAAAGAAAATTGCTTTTGACTTTGTGTTCAACCTTACACATATTTGTTCCTTCCTCTTCCTCACAATTTGTTGGTTATTCAGTTAGGATTGTCTACTCTTTAACACATATTAAGATATTTTTGATTTCGACATCCGTTTCTTAAAGTTTGGAATTTGTGACCGAGTTTTTTTCATTGGTCAGTAAATTATTATGTGGGGTTCAAAAATGTGTCAAAGGTTTGCTTTTGATCATATTTTGAGCTGTTGCAGTCAATTCTGTGGCGAACCTTAGCATGCACTGTGCATATTATTTTGGGCCCAGATGCTGGTTTCTGAACCTTAGTGGATTTAGTTGGCCGAGTTGTTTGCTAATGTATCTTTGTTCTGTTTTTGTTTCAGATTTTTCTGCATCAACCTGTTGAAGACTTCTTTTTGGCCATTTATCTTGATTGATCATTTTAGAGTGGTGCGGAATATGAATGAAAAGGAAATTGGTTGGAATTGGTGAAAATTGTGATTCAAGTGCCTAGATGAAGACAGTAAAAGATTTGCGCCTAGGCGCGGGCGATGTGCAGATCCTGCCTGGGTCTCGTCATCGTCCTCCTATGAAGAAGCCAATGTGGATTATTGTCTTGGTTTTATTCGTATGCGTGTTTCTAATATGTGCTTATATCTACCCACCAAAAAGCAGTTCTGCTTGCTACATCTTTTCTTCTGAAAATTGCCGGTCAATTACTGATTGGCTTCCACCAGCTCCTGCAAGGGAATACACAGATGAAGAGATTGCATCACGAGCTGTTGTTAGGGATATTTTGAAAACACCTCTAGCACTTTCAAAGAATCCGAAAATCGCCTTCATGTTTCTGTCACCTGGTTCTCTACCATTTGAAAGATTATGGGATAAATTTTTTCAAGTAAGGAATTGTCACGTGTTATCTGTAACTGATTATTTTGTATTGTTTTGATGATTGTATTAGTTCATGTACACATATCTTATTTGTAAATAATTTCTTTTTCAAACAAATATGTGAGCAAGTCAAGCATGACAATTGTTAGAGTTAGGACAAGGACTGATGGCTAGCTTGTACAAGAGTTAGGATGTGCAAGCTCTTATTGTCTCTTACTAAATCAACTAATGTGTTTCCCTTTCTAAAATAAATTTAGTACTTTCTTTTTAAAACATTTTTGATACTTCTAAAGCATATGATCCTTGAGAATATAGCAGTCTGTATTAGTATACTCGATGTTTAGTTTAATCTTTAATTTGACGAGTTAGAGAAATAACCTGCTGTACTCTCCAATGACGCTAGTGATTCCATTGATTGTGAAACTCGTTTGTCTTTTATTACTCTTGTATTAAAAGTGCTAGGATGAAGGAGAATCATCAGGATATCAGGATTTGATAGAATTTGGAAAATTTATTCCTTCTGTTGGGACGGTGAGACTGAACTTGAATGACAAACTAGGGTACTGGTTTATTGTACACTTATATGAATACTGAACAAGTGCTTTGCATGAAATTTGTTAATGGTCTTTCTGGTCCTAACGGAATGCAATGAATAATGGTTTTATATTTAGGTTAAGTGTTTGGATCTTAGCTATTAAGTTTGAATAAATGTACACCACAAGATGTAAAATATGTTCGATTCATAAATTCTTGATACATGCATATGGGAGAATGAACAGTCATAGTTTGTAGTTGCAATTCTGTTGGTTAATTGTCTTTGCTTCTGAACCATGCTAATTCAGTGTGCTCACTTGGAAGAATACTTTTCTCCTTTTTGGTAGGGACATGAAGGGAAATTCTCAGTATATGTGCATGCATCTAAGACTAAACCAATTCATGTGAGCCGTTATTTTGTTGACCGGGATATACGAAGTGCTCAGGTGTGTAGTGTTACGATTGTTATGTTTACTATCATCTGTTATTTTATCAATCAGGATATACATAGTGACCATGTGTGCAACTTGTCTCATGATTGTTCTGTTTCCTATCACCGATCAATTGTTTTCCTCATGTATATGTATTGAATTTAAATCATTGTTTAATGTTGTTACTTCTTGTTTTTCTTCTTGAAATTTCCTTTAAAGTGCCCTCTTTGCATGAGTCGACTTTTGTTAATGTTGTGACCAAAACGAATCTCCTACTTTAGAGTACCCAAATATATGAAACCAAAATGTCTATCAACGTGAGAGATTAACTGATGCTGTAACTATTTAATAGACATGCATAGGAATGTAGTGTTGACTCTGTCAACCTGACAGTCTGAAATGCAATATTTTGCATTGGTAACATAATCTGCTAATTTCACACACTTTACTTCCTGTTAAGAGATTATAATGTACATGTATTTGCTTATTTGAATTATGTTAGAAGTCTAGGATAACATTATATATAAGCTAGGAAGTTTAGTCTAGTTTTACTTGTGACTTTACTATTTTTGAGAATGCCTTAGTAACATATTTGAAGTTAGAATTTTTTTTATAATAAGCTATGAGTTTAATTTGAAGTTAAACTACATGCTCTAAAAGTAGCTATTATGGTAGTTAGCAGCTATGTTAATAGTTGGTTACTTTATTGCAGGTGGTGTGGGGTAAAATATCTATGGTTAATGCAGAACGACGACTACTGGCAAATGCTTTACAAGATCCTGATAACCAGCAATTTGTTTTACTTTCTGATAGGTAAATATGTGCCATGATATTGCTTTTAATTATATTCTTATTTCCAGGTAACTTATGTTATATATATATATATATATAACATAAGTTACCTGGAAATAAGAATATAATTAAAAGCAATATCATGGCACATATTTACCTATCAGAAAGTAAAACAAATTGCTGGTTATCAGGATCTTGTAAAGCATTTGCCAGTAGTCGTCGTTCTGCATTAACCATAGATATTTTACCCCACACCACCTGCAATAAAGTAACCAACTATTAACATAGCTGCTAACTACCATAATAGCTACTTTTAGAGCATGTAGTTTAACTTCAAATTAAACTCATAGCTTATTATAAAAAAAATTCTAACTTCAAATATGTTACTAAGGCATTCTCAAAAATAGTAAAGTCACAAGTAAAACTAGACTAAACTTCCTAGCTTATATATAATGTTATCCTAGACTTCTAACATAATTCAAATAAGCAAATACATGTACATTATAATCTCTTAACAGGAAGTAAAGTGTGTGAAATTAGCAGATTATGTTACCAATGCAAAATATTGCATTTCAGACTGTCAGGTTGACAGAGTCAACACTACATTCCTATGCATGTCTATTAAATAGTTACAGCATCAGTTAATCTCTCACGTTGATAGACATTTTGGTTTCATATATTTGGGTACTCTAAAGTAGGAGATTCGTTTTGGTCACAACATTAACAAAAGTCGACTCATGCAAAGAGGGCACTTTAAAGGAAATTTCAAGAAGAAAAACAAGAAGTAACAACATTAAACAATGATTTAAATTCAATACATATACATGAGGAAAACAATTGATCGGTGATAGGAAACAGAACAATCATGAGACAAGTTGCACACATGGTCACTATGTATATCCTGATTGATAAAATAACAGATGATAGTAAACATAACAATCGTAACACTACACACCTGAGCACTTCGTATATCCCGGTCAACAAAATAACGGCTCACATGAATTGGTTTAGTCTTAGATGCATGCACATATACTGAGAATTTCCCTTCATGTCCCTACCAAAAAGGAGAAAAGTATTCTTCCAAGTGAGCACACTGAATTAGCATGGTTCAGAAGCAAAGACAATTAACCAACAGAATTGCAACTACAAACTATGACTGTTCATTCTCCCATATGCATGTATCAAGAATTTATGAATCGAACATATTTTACATCTTGTGGTGTACATTTATTCAAACTTAATAGCTAAGATCCAAACACTTAACCTAAATATAAAACCATTATTCATTGCATTCCGTTAGGACCAGAAAGACCATTAACAAATTTCATGCAAAGCACTTGTTCAGTATTCATATAAGTGTACAATAAACCAGTACCCTAGTTTGTCATTCAAGTTCAGTCTCACCGTCCCAACAGAAGGAATAAATTTTCCAAATTCTATCAAATCCTGATATCCTGATGATTCTCCTTCATCCTAGCACTTTTAATACAAGAGTAATAAAAGACAAACGAGTTTCACAATCAATGGAATCACTAGCGTCATTGGAGAGTACAGCAGGTTATTTCTCTAACTCGTCAAATTAAAGATTAAACTAAACATCGAGTATACTAATACAGACTGCTATATTCTCAAGGATCATATGCTTTAGAAGTATCAAAAATGTTTTAAAAAGAAAGTACTAAATTTATTTTAGAAAGGGAAACACATTAGTTGATTTAGTAAGAGACAATAAGAGCTTGCACATCCTAACTCTTGTACAAGCTAGCCATCAGTCCTTGTCCTAACTCTAACAATTGTCATGCTTGACTTGCTCACATATTTGTTTGAAAAAGAAATTATTTACAAATAAGATATGTGTACATGAACTAATACAATCATCAAAACAATACAAAATAATCAGTTACAGATAACACGTGACAATTCCTTACTTGAAAAAATTTATCCCATAATCTTTCAAATGGTAGAGAACCAGGTGACAGAAACATGAAGGCGATTTTCGGATTCTTTGAAAGTGCTAGAGGTGTTTTCAAAATATCCCTAACAACAGCTCGTGATGCAATCTCTTCATCTGTGTATTCCCTTGCAGGAGCTGGTGGAAGCCAATCAGTAATTGACCGGCAATTTTCAGAAGAAAAGATGTAGCAAGCAGAACTGCTTTTTGGTGGGTAGATATAAGCACATATTAGAAACACGCATACGAATAAAACCAAGACAATAATCCACATTGGCTTCTTCATAGGAGGACGATGACGAGACCCAGGCAGGATCTGCACATCGCCCGCGCCTAGGCGCAAATCTTTTACTGTCTTCATCTAGGCACTTGAATCACAATTTTCACCAATTCCAACCAATTTCCTTTTCATTCATATTCCGCACCACTCTAAAATGATCAATCAAGATAAATGGCCAAAAAGAAGTCTTCAACAGGTTGATGCAGAAAAATCTGAAACAAAAACAGAACAAAGATACATTAGCAAACAACTCGGCCAACTAAATCCACTAAGGTTCAGAAACCAGCATCTGGGCCCAAAATAATATGCACAGTGCATGCTAAGGTTCGCCACAGAATTGACTGCAACAGCTCAAAATATGATCAAAAGCAAACCTTTGACACATTTTTGAACCCCACATAATAATTTACTGACCAATGAAAAAAACTCGGTCACAAATTCCAAACTTTAAGAAACGGATGTCGAAATCAAAAATATCTTAATATGTGTTAAAGAGTAGACAATCCTAACTGAATAACCAACAAATTGTGAGGAAGAGGAAGGAACAAATATGTGTAAGGTTGAACACAAAGTCAAAAGCAATTTTCTTTAGCCAATTTAAAAATGAAAAAATAAAATATCAACATAACATAACATAACCCACACACTCCAATCTGATCCCACAAAGTCCCAGTTCCTCAATCATAGGAGCGATTACGTAAATATACAACAAAACCCACGATCGGGTGGGAAAGGGAAGTTTCT